AAAATGTGTGCAGTTTGCATAGAAGACCCACATTTCTCCATTGGGAAGCAGTGCTGGATGGGCAGTTACTCTGCTCATAAAAAGTAATCACTAAATAAGAACATGATGAGTGTCTGATAAAACCTATCAGTAACAAAATAAGACAAAGCAGCAGAGGAATCTTTGGTAAAACATGGGGAAACTGAATTCCCAAAAGAGTCCCCCTTAAGAGCCCAAAAGTGATTATGTGATACTTCTGGAAACTTCTTACTCTAGGAACCCCATAGAATTACTCCTGACACTGAGGAGGAATGAAGGATGATTATCACCAACATGGATCTGATGCCATCCCATCCCTTGAATTTATGCTTCTTGGCATAGATCTTAGGATGCCCCCTGAATGTTCCCTCTCTCATCTCCTCAAAACAAAAATCTATGGGGACAATCTGGGACCCCTTGGAGATACCCAGATCCATGACTGCTCTAGTCTTTTATATCAAATGGCATAATGCTTGCACATAATCTATATACATCCTCCCGTGTGCTTTAAATCATCTCTAGATTATTTCTAAGACCTAATACAATGTCTACACATCACTTCATTCCTGAGTATTCAACGTAGTACTCGGCATGTGGCAAATGCAAGTTTTACTTTATGGAACTCTGTGGAATTTTTTCCCTGAACATTTTCCATCTGCGGTTGGCTGAATCCGTGGATGTGGCACCCACAGATACAGAGGGCCAACTGTGCTTACTCTTACCTTAAAATACACCATTAGAAGCAGAAAGAAAGAGCCGGGCTCGGTGGCTCAGCCCTTTGGGAGGCTGAGGTGAGTAGATTGCTTGAGCCCGCCGGTTCGAGACCCGCCTGGGCAGGCGAGACCTCATCTCTACAAGAAATCAAAAAATTAGCTGGGCGTGGCAGCACGTGCCTGTAGTTCCAGCTACTCGGAAGGCTGAGGCGGAAGGATCGCTGGAGCCCAGCAGGTCTAGGCTGCGGTGGCCAGGAGAGGCCACTGCACTCCAGTCTGGGTGACAGAGTGAGATTCCAACTCAAAACCAAAACAAACAAACAAACAAACAAAAAGAAGCAGAAAGAGAGATCAGAAGGTACATTCTGCTTTTTGAAGAGCACACCTTTGGGACACATGTATTATGTTCAATAACAACTAGGCTGAGGTCAACTAATGCAGACTGTATGTCAGGAAAGGGATGGCAGCCTGAAAGTCCCATTGTGATGTGCCTGGTGGTCAACCTAGCCTCAAGGAAGCAACAGTGCACTCTCACCTCTGTGATTCTCAAGCCTTCAGAGGTGGCCCACCCACTGAGTGAGGCAAGGGTCAGAAAGAGGGTTCACAAGAAGAGCCCAGCTGCCCAGGGCTTATTCTTCCATGTTCATGAGCACTTAGCTGGAGAAATGACAGAGAGTGTTGGATCCATATTGTATCAGCAAGACAGAGTTGATCCACGTGAACTTTCTGTTCATAGAAAGTAGGGTCCATTATTGGAAATTTCATATGGGTCCATCGACATGAAGCTGGAACAGATAAGAGAAGTAGTTGGCTGAATAAAAAGGCCGACCTACTGCACCCACTGGAGCTTATAACTAAAAGGCAAAGGCTGAGTGAAGACAGGATAAAGGTGAAGCAAGTATCAGCCATGGATGACATCTCACAGGACCTATTGCAGCCGAGTCTACAACGACCCTTTATTCAGGCTGACGGAGAAGGGGGCCAGAGATGGCCAAGTGACTCTCAGGCAAACAATGACAGTTCAATTATAATTTACAAAGATATAGTTCCTATCTAGGGGCACAATGGTTGTCAAAGTAAAATTCTCTCCATTTAAGCTCCTCAAAAACACATTACTCAAAATATTCTATGTGAAGGTTTTTTTTCCCAACCTCCCTGATCATGTTCACTCCTAACTAAATAGAGAAAATCACTCATCTTTACCCTCATATAAAGAAATCAGTGTTTGACATACCTCACTAACACAGCTAAATCCTCCCTGACTTCCTATCCAGAGAAAAAGGTGTGTATCAATGTAAGTGCTATCTGTAAATGCTACCAGAGACTCTTACTAAAAGGTGTCTCCTTGGAACCCAGGAAAATCAAATAAAGCTCAGCAGAATACCCCTCACCCTCACCGGCAGGCTCATCTTGTCACAGGGATGAAGACATCAAACTCAGCTCCCTGATCCAGGGACCACAGTAAACAAGGATGAATACTTTGGGTCAGTGTATCCAAATGTGCACAGATAAAAGAAACAAAAGTCAGACAGGAAAATTTCAAAACCAGAAGCTGGAAAATGTTTCTGGGCTCTATTGTGAAACAGTATCTTTTTTTTCTCCTCCATTTAAAATTTTCTCCCTTTAAATCCAAACTGCAGCAATAGACGCTGACAGCTCTTGCTTCAGACTTGATACATCATCAGGAAATCATTCCAAAAGCTCTAACTAGATAACTAATTTAATACACTTTGCTTCAAGGTTTATTCCTTGGCTTGCGTCCCAGATATAAAGCATCTCTGGGCAATTATTATGCAGATGCCACTGAAAGGACTTTAAATGGCTGTTGCTAATTTAACAGGAGATATGTTGGCATTTACCGGAGATGCGAAAAGGAACGCAGAATGTGCTCAAGAACCCAAGGCATTTGTTTTTAAAAGTGAAATATGTGGAGTCACTTTACTACATTTTCCCTTGGGCTTCAACATAAACCTTGGTTAGCAAGTGAGATGGTAAGCCTACTTCCTCCCTGCATTTTGTGCACTACCACAGATTCCTGTTGCATACGGTGGGAGCAGTGGATTGGCTCAAAGGAAGTCCTTCAGTGTTGAGCTCAGAGTCACCAGATCTACAGGCTACCCACATGAGACATTTTAACAGTGCCACATCAGGGTTCAGAGATGAAAGATAAATACTGATGCTGTTCATATGCAACAAACCAGTAACTGAGACCAACTGTTAAAACATCCCTAATAGTAGGATATCCCAAGGATGAAAAAAATCTCTCAGGCAAGGAAACATATACCTTTTTGCCCATTGATAAGCTTCTCAGGGTAAGAGTTCTGAATTCTGTTCCACAGAAAATACATGTGATACAAATTTTTTTTTTTGAGTCGGAGTCTCACTCTGTCGCCCAAGCTAGAGTGCAGTGGCACTCATGGCCACCGCAGCCTCGACCTACTGGACTCAAGCGATCCTTCTGCCTCAGCCTTCCAAGTAGCTGGAACTATAGGCATGTGCCATCATGCCCGGCCAATTTTTAATTTATTTATTGTAGAGGGGAGGTCTCGCCAAGTTGCTCAGGCTGGTCTTGAACCCCTGGGCTCAGGCAATGCTCTCATCTCGGCCTCTCAAAAGTGCTGGGATTACAGGCTCAAGCCACCATCCACCTACAAATGGAATACACCCAGCACCAAAATTTGTGAATCTATGAAGCTCTGTTGACTGATTTTTCAGACCATGGAGTAAGAGAGAGAGAGAGGAAGTTCTCCATCTCCAGATATTCTGAGTCTAAATACAGAGCACAGCCATAACACCACCTGGCCAGATATGAAAATGAGTTGAGTCATAGTCCAAAAGTGTTAACAAGGAATCAGCTTTCATAGCACATGTTGGTATGTGGTGATGGGATGTCACAAGTATGTGCTCTTGTCTTTTCAGTTCAGGGGGGAAAAAAGGCAGCAATGGAGCAAGGCATATCCAACACTCATGGTGGCCAATTCTAACAAAACCACATTGAAGCATTCCTTTCTACTAATTTTTCTTGACTGTGGCTTTCTAACTGTGGTTTTGTTCTTAGAATTGAGCACTGTGAGTGTTCTATAATCCTTTCTCCATTGCTGCCTTTCTTTTCTCTGAGCTGAAAAGACAAGCGAGGAATGGCATCAAACCAACCAGAAAAACTGTAACTTTGTGACTTTCTGTCACCATGTACCAACAGGTATGTATCAAAGCTGTATTCAAGAAAAGCCAGATGTTGGAGGGGAAATTCCCCAAAATTCATGAAGAGGGAAAATGTGCAGAACATGATTTATTGTGTACTAACCTAAGAAACTGAGAAGGTCACTGACCACTAACATCACAAGAAGAAACTAAGAACTGAGCTTCAAACTGAGGGTAGATAATACTGTAACCGACCAGAGTGGGATACAGGGAGAAAAGGAAAGAAGCAAAGGACCTTGTGAATGACAAATTCTATCATCTTTCATCAAGTGGCCCAAGACCTGGACTATCATGTCCTAGTGGGATAAATCCTGCTCTTGCCGGCCCAAGCCTGAAGATGACAACAGCACAGTTGGGCGGGTGGGGGAAGGAGAGGGGGAGGGGTGTTACACTTTAGATGGCTCTTTGCCAGGGTTCCTCTACCTTAGTGCCAAACAGCTCCCATCAATCGGCTTCCTCACTGTTCCCTTGATGATCTTTCCAATGACTTAATGACTGTTGGAAAGACAGAACCAACTCAGAACTTCGACCCTTAGGTCCCTGTCCAGCGCACGTGTCTTATTTCAATAAGAAACAATTATCAAGGGCCTGCCTAACTCCTTTCTCTTCCCACTCTGGTCCATTATCCCTCTCAACCAGGCAAGAGGCCTAGCTGCACAGATGGCCTGGCCCAGGGCCTCAACACCACCAGACTGGGGCCTACTAAGCAAACGAGAAGTGGCAAATAGCCAGGGTGCAGTCCCCAGCAGGGAAACACAGGCTCCAGAGCCCAGTGGAGGGAGTGGGAGAGAAAAATACAGCACAGGGCTCCTTAGTATGAAAGATGGCAACTCCTGTACTGTAAAGGGACCATATTCTCTAGCTGTTCCCAGCTTTAACTCAAGCTCAGGGGAACGTCAGGTTAGGAGGGGGTGCAGGGGGAGAAGAGATTACTATGGATGAGGGCCTAAATGAAGAAGAGAGGAAACCGACTGTCCATCAAGGTACATGAGCCCCAAAATATAATAATGTTTTTTTTTTTTTTAAATCTTCAGGCCATTTTCTTTATATTTCAAGATGAATTCATTTTCTTGCCATCTTTGATTTGGACATAAGCAATGAACGATGAATGAATCAAGCTGATAGGTTTCAGGGTTGGTTACAAATCTGGCTACGACTTCATTAGAGATGTATTCCCTTATGCCTCTGTCCCAAAAATGATCCACCAGGCGACCTTCTCTACTGACCGTATTACAATGCAGATCAGTCAAAATATGGTTCAAATGAAAAGTACTATATTATTGCGAAAACTGCATTATAATAATTCACAAAAGTTATTCCAAAGGGGAAAAAATAAATTATCTCATATAAAATAATACATGGTGTGTGTGAATAACCTTGGCTCCTGACTTTAGGGAGCCAAGGCCTGCCTGTTGCCAGCTGCCCGCCCCCCACAGGGGGGGCAGATGTTGTCTGGAGGTGGCTTGCCACCTGCATGATGGAGCTGGGTTCCTCCTCCAGGAGCTGGATCGGGGAGATCAAATGAGTCTGGAGTTTTGGAGAAACTGGATGAGGACTTGGTAGACAAACTTGTACTGGGCGATGGTCTGGATCATGAACATCCTCTGCTCCCGGAGGAGCCTCAGCATCACGGGCACTTCCACCTTCTGCAAGAAGAGAGAGAAAGCACAAGACCCTGAGAAGGACACTTCCCTTGGGCCAGCCCTCATTCCCTTCCCCTGGAAGCACTCACCCACTGCCCACGCCCATACAAACAAGGGACTCTGCCCCAGTTAGGTTTTACAAAGCAAAGTTTATACTAGCAACTGGAGAATTGGTTGTCATGTGCCACTGTGTGATATTTTAAATACAGACGAACCTAAGGGAGAAAAGAGGGAGGCTGGAGTTAGACCTGATTGGTACCCTCAACTCTGGCACAACCCAGTGACAGAGCTGAGCTTGGTGGTTCACACCTGTAATCTTAGTACTTTGGGAGGTAGAGGTGAGAGGATTGGCTGAGCTCAGGGGTTTGAGACCAGCCTGGGCAACTTGGTGAGACCTCATCTCTACAATTTAAAAAAAAAAAAAATTAGCCAGCATGGTGGTACACGCCTGTGGTTCCAGATACTTGGAAGGCTGAGGCGAAAGGATTGCTTGAGCCCAGCAGGTCGAGGCTGCGGTGGCCGTGAGCGTGCCACTGTACTCCAACCTAGGTGACAGGAGTGAGACTCTGACTCCAAAAAAAAAATCCAGTGACAGAATTTAACGCATCTCAGGGACTTAGTTTCCTCACCTGTAAAATAAGGATGACAATGTTTTCTTCTAACAGCAGTGTGACCTTGCCTAGGTTAGTTACATTTCCTCAGCAATAACACAGGGTAATAAGTGGTACTCACTTTGTAGAACCGATGATGAAATGCATGTAAAGTATTTAGCATACAGGGAGTGCTTAACAAAAACTACTCATTATTCCTTTATTAACATTAATAATTATGTTATTAATGAGGTTATGCCTGTCCCTGCTATCTCATAAAATTACAATTTTGATCAAGGAAGATAATTTATGTTTGTGCCTTTGTTTATTTATTGTTATTATTTTTTAGACAGGGTCCCACTCTGTTGCCTGGGCTGGAGTGCAGCAATGTGAGAGGATAGCTCATTGAAGCTTCTACCTTTTGGGCTCAAACAATCCTCCAACCTCCATCCTCTGAGTAGCTGGGACTATAGGCGCATGCCACCCAGCTAATTTTGGTGTGGTTGTTGTAGAGACAGGCTCTCACTCTGTTCCCCAAGCTGGTTTTGAACTCCTGGACTCAAGTGATCCTCTGGCCTTGGCCTTGCAAAGCACTGGGATTACAGGCGTGGGCAATGGCACCTGGCCTGTAAGCCTTTAAAACATCAAAGCACCATCTCTGAACACCAGTCCTGTTTGAAGTAAAAACCTTTAACTGAAAAACATCATGAGTATGAAATGAGATTGATTATGTGTGAATTCTCTGAAAGTATAAAACTCTTATCAATGGAAGGAAATTAACATGGTGGTCATGGGTGCTTGGACAGAGCAGAGGCTTTTGTGGTGTCCCCTCAGCCTTACTTGCACCATGTCTGTCCTCCTGGACCAGCCAAGCATATGCAGCTGAAGCATCCCCAAACTGCCCAGGCCACAGTGGCTTTAGCATATTCATTCTGCTCTGGAAGCTCTCAACCCAGGGCAAATGATGCCACCCATGAAGTTATCAAGAACTGAGCAAGCATTTAAAGTAAAATAAAAATAAAAAACTCAGCAGCAAGCCTTACTTGGTAACCTTCAAACCTTGAAAAATAATTTCAGCTATTTCCAAAGTGGGTCATTATGATACATACACCATCCCAAATAGTCATTTCCTCCCCAAACCAACTAAGGAATGTATACCACTGACTCAAAAGGGGAAAGTCAAGTCCTTGGGTAACAAGGAAAGAAAAAAGAAGGCATGTGAATCTTCAGTCTCCATCAAAATATAGTAACTAGTGAGTCTGACTAAATCTTACTCCAAAGTGACCCCATATCATGATATACAACTATAGCCACCTAACAATGAACTTAATATCATATCGATGAGCATTAATCTGTACTGGTCATGGATGAGCCAAGGACACAGAGAATGAGGTTGCTCTGCTCCCACATGAGTTATGAACACAGGCTCTGGGTCAGCTCTCCACATCGCAGCCGCCAACCTCACTACAAGCGTCTGCATTTCATTGTTTCTGCTCAACTTTTCTGTGTTTCAAATGAGACTAAGAGGGAAGACGCCAAGATAAAGAAAAGCTATTTTGCTGACAAAAATTAAAACTGCATGAATTATGGACTAAAATATAAAGTATGCTACTCCAGAAGCTGTGGAAAGAAGGCAGGGAAGTCTGGAAGGGAGAAAAATAGTACACATAATTCCCTATTGTTAAAATCTTTGTGAAAAAGACAAACCAACTGACTAAACATGCTTCACTCTCCTCCTGAAATAGGGGCTTGAATCTTACTAGCCAGGCTTAAAACAGCATCAGAACAAAGTAGAGAATTTTTATCCCCTAACCTCCCACCAACAGCAACCATGGGAAATGCAACAGATAAGACTGGCTATACTTGTGCTAGGCGAAGGGAAGTGAAAAATATGAGTCATCTTGCTATCTTTGAGTCATCTTGCTATCTTTGAATATCCATGGGAACAGAAGTTCTTTTTGGACTGACCACGTTCCAGCAAAGAATGTTCTGGCATGAAGGTGGGCATTGAGGAAATCCGCTATGTTTGGACACACCATAGAGCACTGAACCACCCCAAGCCTTCACCAAGTCTGCAGGAGGCCCTCTTGGCCAAATCCCTCACTCTGAACTGTTCTGGCTTTGATAAGTGCTGTCTGTTTTACCGGACCAATAACATCTGGCGTTCAGTGAGCCCTCATGTCATCGCCTTTTCGAGGCTCAGCCTTTGATGGGTCTCTACAGAGCTCAGAACAGAACAATCTTTCATGTTGGACAAGACAGACAGAAGGGCTTCGCGAGTTGAAAAGGGGGAGAGGGGAGCAGAGGAAGAGCACACAGGGAATGGAGAAAATAAGGGGAATATGGGGAGGAACAGACATCTAAGAGAGGTGATGATGAGGCCTTCCCTTTGCCAGAATCCATTGGTACCACCAGCATGAGACCAGACGTGCTCAAGCCACACACACACGGATCCCACTTCATATAATTCTGTCTACCTATCAATGGGTGGGTTGGGACTTAGTGGCAAGTTATTCATTGTATGAGAGACATCTAGTAAAGACAGGACTAGGGAAGCAAATAATCAAGAAATCGGGCAGGTGCAGTGGCTCATGCCTGTAATCCCAGCACTCTGGGAAGCTAAGGTGGGAGGATTGCTTGAGTCCAGGAGTTCGAGAACAGTCTAGGCAATACAGCAATCTTGGGAGTAGGGCTAGGGCAGCCAGCCTATGCACAGTCAAGGGATGTTTGTGTGCTCGAAGTATATACCCTGCTCTGGTACACTACGCATTTGCCAGTCTAGACAAACAAACAACCCCTTTTAATGAAAAATATTTTCCAAGGTGACATATTTTCATATAGGATTTAGGCCAAAACACATCCTAGAAATGCAAGATGCATTTCAACTATATGGGACCGAATATTAATAATTTACCATAGAAAAGTATATTAAACTAGGGTATCTACAAAAATGCTACAGAATTCTGGGAGTAGACACTGATTAAAATTAGCTTTTGTATTTCCTATAGCACATGCTCATTTCTTCTTCTATGCCGTCTGGTTATCTACATGAAGCAGTGAAAGGCCAAAGATAAGAAAGGCTATAAACGTTAACCAAGGGTCTGGAAATCTCTGGTCAGGAGAAAGGAAATTAACCACTGCAAATGAAAGGGTACAGGCAAAGGTTTGGTCCGGGTATAGATTTGTCCTCAAGGTGGAGTATTCACAGAGAAGGCCAGAATGACTCACTTCATTATGCTCCAGGCAGTAGATCATCAGCTCAGACAGAATGACCACACCGGTCCTTCCAACCCCAGCACTACAGTGGACCACGATGGGAGGGTGCCGGTTCTTGGTGCCTTCCAGCATGCTGTTGGTATGGCGACGGACTGACTGGATCTCCTCCAAGTAGGCTGCAGGACAAAATGCAAATCTTGTTACCAAGTCCCACATGGCTTTGCATATAACTTGTGGGGGGGTGGTAGAGAGAACTCATGGTGAATCTTTTTTAAAAAAGGGACAATAATTTACAGTTCTTACAAGACTCTAATTATTTGGCTGGTACCCACTGTACAGTCCTGGATCCAGAAAGGACCAGCTGGGAGTCAATTAGTCCATGGGAGAATTTGTTCTTTAAATTAAATAGTTCTTTTTTAAAAATTAAATTCTGTTTTCCCCTCTGTAAATCCCTAAGTCCCCCAAGCAGATGATTCTAGACATTACTTACAGCAATTCCTACTATTAACAGACTGGGATCAGAACAACAGCTAAGTCCCCTTGAAACGCCCGCCTGTCAGAGCCAATTTCTGGTGGGGCGAGAGCATCCATCTGCCCCTTCCTCCTTCCCCTCACTGATGAGTGAATGTCAACTGAGGCTTGACTTCATTGTTAGATTTTAAAGTAGACTTTGGGGAGCCTGCTTTTCAGCATGGGGTTATGTGAGTAGCTCAAGATGAGTCCCCCTTCTGGAGGCAACATGTGTGTGAGATAAAGGGGGTCCTGATACCCCTGCATGCCTTCCAACATCTGCCTGGCTCAGCGGAGCTGCTCAGGGGCCTGTTCATGATTCCAATTGGGCGCAAAAGAAAAATTGCAGCAATACAAGCCTTAATGACTTTTTTTTGTAACCATGACAAAAGAGCAAAGTATACAAATGTAATGCTCAGACAGTCCAAAAAAAGTAAATTAGTGATTTAGATCTTTCCAGTAGCTCAAACAGAAACAGGTTTAAAGGTTCCTGATACTCAGAGAACCTCATCCTAATGCAACAAAGTAAACAGAACTACAGGGGAAATGCTTAAACTGTTGAAGAGAAAAATGTATATTCAAACTATCTCAGTAATTTCAAAGCATCTGTTTATATACAACCAATAAGAACCCGCACTTTACTTTATAACTTCATCAAATTCAAAATAGCCTGACGCAGTCTACCAAACAAGCCAACTACTACTATTACTGCTGCTACAATAATGATGGTGACTAGTAGTAATAATAGTAGTATTAGTACTAGTTATAGTACTAATCATAGCAATATTAGTAAAATAGTAGTAATGTAAAACAAGATAGAACAAAACAAAAGAAGTCACTCTGAAATGAACACAGAGAGTAGTTACTATTGGGTACCAACACGAGCTAAATACTGAGCATGGAATTTTCTCCACAATTTTTCTGCAATGGGGAAAAGATATTAGGCAACTGAATATTCTGTCAGACAAAAGGCACTGTTCATATATGAGAGACAAAGCTTTACTTGAGCTAAATTTGAGAAGAAAAAGAAATGTTGGATAACATAACAGATGCCACTTTCAAATGGAGTTTTTCATGTAATGCATAGAAACTAGACTCAACGGATGCCTCTTCTACCAATCATATTAACAAAGCTCCTTAAGCTATAACTCAGTGAAGAGTTCTGGAGGGTGGCAGACAATTTGGCCTAGGTACTCTGCAGCCAGGTAATCTCATTTAAACATGGGCAAAAATCTTTAAATCCTAGAAGAAACGAAGAGCCAACATTTCTAAGGCCCTGTACGGCATACTTATATTGAGGTTCGTAGAAATGTAACTTACTAAACTTACATTTTAAAAATATATTCTCTATATTTTTCAGTAATTCTGACAGGCGTTCCTTAAATTGGCTCCAATTTAAAAGATCTGACTATAATTTTAAGCACTTTATAAGCTCAATCTTTCATCAGAGCTATTAGCCAACTGGTGAATGGTCTACTTTTATTGTTTCCGTTTTCTGCTTCTTAGAGAAAATTTTAATAAGCCAATTAACAAAAGACTAGCTAAAAGGAATAAAAAGAGCACCGTTAGAAGTAGAATCCTGCAAAGGTCACTGCCCTGCTTATTAATATTTCAAACTACAGATAACCAGCCATTTGACCTCAGGCAAATCAATACACTTCTCTAGATATTGCTCTAGATCTTTTGATTTCAACCATCCTTCTGTTCTCAGCTTTCAGTGTCCAACCTCTCAGGTATTATCATCACTTTCATGGAAGTGAAATACCTGTAACGATGAATAAGTACACATCAGAATCTTTCCATTGGACCTTGTAAATCAGTATTTTTAGGTCTTGAAAACCTTTCCTTTCTCTCTGTATTCCTCTCCTTCTCCCCTGCCTGCACCTCCCATTTTAAATGAATATCAAAATAAAATCAAGGTTTTGACATGATCCAACATCTAGATGATGGACCCTTCATGGTGATCACAGGTCTTCCCCTAGCTGGAGAGTCAGTCACAGAGCAAGTGTCAAGTCTGCAGGGAGACTGGGGGCTCCTTCCTAGTTGAATAAGTAAGGAATGGGGTTTCTCCACAAGCACATGACAGGCAAGCATGTGGACAGAAGCGGGAGCAGCCACCACTGAAAAGCAGAACACAAGATCAGATCTCATGTCTTTCCCATTAGACTGTGAATATCATTAAAGCTAAGAGTGTGAAGTCAGTTTCATCTCTGTGTTCTCAGAGCCTGATCCAATATCTGGCACATAGTGAGCACACACCCGGTTTTTGGCCTTTCAAATAAAATACTGCATATAATCTGGTGAATTCGTATCTAAAATAACCGTATCACAAATAAAAAAATACATATGTAAATTAATGAATTAGTCTTTTGAGCATATTTCAGTTTTAAAATCTACAAACTGATTTTAGTAATTCTTTGTACTGAGATTTACTCTATAGGGAAATACAGGGCTTGTGAAATGCAAACCTTCATGAGAAATTAAAAAAAGTTATTTATTTTTACATTTTATTTCTCTTTTTTAATGTGTTAAAATACACATGATGTACAATTTACAATTTTAACCATTTATAAGTGTCAGTTCAGTGGCATTAAGTATATTCACAGTGCTGTGCAACTACCACCACCATCCATGTCCAGAACTTTTCACTGCTCCAGAAACACCGCACCCATTACTTCTCTAATCCTCTTTCACTCAGCCCCTGGTAAGCTCTCATCTACTTTCTGTCTCTATGAATTTGCCTATTTTAGGTATCTCATATAAGTGAAATTATACAATATTTGTCCTTTTGTGATTGGCTCATTTCACTTAGCATTATGTCTTCAAGGTTCATTTCTGTTGTGGCACATGTCAGATTAGTTACTGACTGAATGAGTAGCTAAGGGTCTATATCGAGGTAGAACCAATCAGTTTATCACAGTCTTAGCTAATATGCATAAGAGGTAAACAGAATATAATAAGTGACATGTATTATTATTCTTTCTTCTACATAGTAATAAAGCGACATATACTTTCATGTTTTAATACTTTTGTCACTTAAGAGAAAGCATCCTTTCCATTTCACCTCCAACTGACAGAACACTGATGCAATTGCTAAAATCCAGGCTGGTAAAACACAGACTAGAAAGAAAAAACTTACACAAAAATCCTTGGACGTCCTCTGGGCAGCCATGATCCGGCCAGTCAGTATATTGCAAATGCCACACCGTCCTTTCTTGCCCAGACAAAAGGTGCTTGACCTTCAAGCCTGTGGTTGCATAACAACCAGAATCTGTTCGGAACTTTGTGGTGACCTTGAACTTGCCATAGGTGGCTGAGCTGTGCTTGGAACCCAGTTTGGGCCAATATCGATGGCTTTTGGTTCGTCCGCCCTCCTAAATCACACACAAAAGCAAAACTGGAAATAAGTCAGGGGAAGCTCTCATTCTCTTAATCCTAAAATGTAAAGATAGAAGAAAATAGCTTCTAAATCACTAACTTGGTAGCACTGTGCAGTGTCTATCACAGCAGAGCCTATACATTTTAGTTAAGACCAAGAGTAAGATTTACAATAACTCTATCAATTTAAAATATTCACAATTTAAAAGATTCACAACTAAGGTGCAGTTTAATATTAGACAGAAGACCGAAGTCCAGAGGCAGAACAAATTCTGTGCGTTCAAGAAACAAAGATCTTCAGAGCTGCTAAAAAATGAGGCAGGTGAAGGAGCAGGAGGTAGGAAAGGAGGTCAGAAAGGCTGCACAGTGCATGGCAGGGAGTTTGGACTTCACTCCATGGACAATGGAAAGCCATCCACCCAAAGGCCTCAAGCAAGGGAGCAACAGATTCCAGCAATCATTCTAGGTCACGAGCAAGAGGTCTATGTTTAACTCCAGTACAGTTTTGAAATCCCTGGAGTAGGGGTGGAGTTGGAGGGGTGGTAGCTGAGGAGATTCAGGGCAGGGAGTAGGTAGCCTCTGAGCGAACAGAGGCTGTGGTGTTGGGGACGGGCTCTGGGAACCCTGATGGCTGCTTAGAGAAACTCTAATGGTCAGCCCAAGAGGAAAGCAATGCATCTTTGGGGAATACAAAAACCTCGCCCAGCTTCATTTGGTTTCATGGAGTCCTCTTAAGTGTGAAGCACAGTTTCCTCCTTTATTTACCAATCTTGTGAAAATAGATTTACCTTCAATTTACAATTCTGCTGAGTGTCTAAATCAGTTGTGGGTTTTAAAAGACTACAAGTCCCTGACTGTCCCACAGATCACTAGACTACTTTGTCTTGACAGGGCTGGCCCCTTCTTGTCACTCAGGTCTCGCCTCAAAAGCCACCTCCTCAGAGAGGCCTTGTCTGTTCACCTAATCTAAAGTAGCCCCCAGTCACTCTCTTTCCCAGCACCTTATTCTGTTTTCTCCATGGCATTTCCTACTGTCTGAAATTCCTTTATTTGTTCACTTTTTACTGTCCTTCTCGCTAAGACATAAGCTCCATGGGGACAGGGATGGTGCCATGTCTTGTTTACCACGTGCCCCTGAGGTCAGCACAGATGGTACACTGTGTTTAATTGAATGAATCCCTTGCAATGATGTGATTCAATAAGGTGATAAATCCACCCTGGAGGCTTTACGGAGGATTCGTTCTCTTTGTGGAAAGGTCAAACAGAAGGTCAGCCCAGAGGAGTACAATTGGCTTTAAAGAGCTTGAAGACCCTTTCCCCATTATCTTCTAACAGACTGTTCTGGAAAGCAACTGCTTAGAACAGTCAATGAAGGGAATATGACTCTCTTCCCCCAGTTCTTTCTGTTTCTGACTCCTTCAACACAGCTAGGAGAGAGGCATTGCAATACTATGGATATTGGTAAAAACACATGAAACTAGTTCCTTAAATGACTTCAAAACATATGTTGGAATTTAATGAAAAAAAGAAAATGAGGTGGTTAAAAAAAATTTTGAGAGTTTGACAAGAGGAGAAACACAACACTTCTTTCCCCAAAGGCAGCAAGCTCAAAGCCGACTGGATCGACTGGTGGTGTATGTCAGTTTTTATAACACCACACAGAGTTCTCTAGTTACAACAGAAAAACCGTGTTTGGCTTGGCAAAAGAGGAAAAAGATATTTTTTTCTTTCCCCAAAGAATGGAGGCCTCTCCAGGAACAACAGCTTCTGGTCTCTTTTCAGGTGATAAGCATGGTGGCATGTGGAGCTGGGGTGCTCGGGGTTAGGGATCCATGTTGACTTGCTCAGAGCAGTCTGAGGTTCTCAAATTCCAGTGGAAAGATCACTGTTTTGTCTGGCACACAAAGTCAGCTGGTTGAACGGAAGTTTGGTTGTTTAGGGTTTTGTGTTGCTTTGTTTCCATTTTAGTGCGCGGCAATCCAAGGAAAAGAATGAAAAGCCAGATGAAAACGAGAGGAGAAAAAGTCACAACAACAAATCATCTCTGGAGGAAAACAACTCTCTCTGGAAGTAATAAGAGAAAACAGACGCATGTCTAAGAGAAAAGGATTTGCAGAGAAGCAGTACTGCAGGAGGGAGGGTGGGGTAGCAAAGTCACCAGCACAAAGTCCATCTTCTGGTCACTCCCTCTCCTAGGGAGGACGCTGAAAGGGTCAGGCCTCTTACCTCCTCTGCGGTGACCATGGCAATCACATTCACGCCCTGCTCCCACACCATCTGCCAGAAGTCGTGGCATGTGTGTGGTAGGGGCCCCTGGGTGGCAATGTAGTGCCATTCTGCCCCACCAACCATCACCTGGAAACCAAGGAAAGTATCGGTCAATGAACATCCGGGACAGAATTACCTGCTGACCACATGTCCATCTGTATCTACCTTAAAACCTTGGATAATATTTTTTGGGACAAATGGGTTAGTGCGATTAACAAAAACCCTGATGCCATAGATGGCTAATGACACATTCTCACATAACAACACTTTTTGCCACTCAAGCCTATTAAAATATTTGTTTAATCTTTTTTTCTGCAACTCACAGTCTATGTAACCCAGTGCACACGAAAAACATTTATAGACACATACAACCATATCTGTGTGTGTATACACATTAGATGTACACACACTATTATATGAATATGTACTGTATAGCTTAGGATTTATGTTAAAGAAATAAGTTATGCTTACTATGTACAAGGTACTCTGATAATTTCCATTCCTTTCTCTATTCTAGCCAATTTCATTACCCCCCCCCCCCCCCACACACACACACACACCCCCACAACTGGCCATGAACACAACTGATTTCACACTCCGTCACTGTGTTGTGATTCCGTTTGAAAAACATTGCTCCATGGCATTTTCCTGAACAACAAAAAAAATCTACCATGGAATATCATCCCTTTGGGAACAATATCTTTCTCCTGTTGACCTGATATAAAATATGTCATCAACCTCTGTTGTCACTGCTGCTCTGTGGTGCCATGTATGGTGGAAATGTTGTAAAGGCACTTTCAATAGTACATAATATTTTATCAATAGCTTCACCTTGTGCCAACGAAAGCATCCAGTTTAATTAGAGTCGTGAGGTGATTTTTGGATAATAAAAATTATTACCCTGTGGAGCACAGGATGATTGTGGGAGGATAATTCTGCAGCTATAAATACCATCTGCAGAGAATCATAAATACAAAGTTGTACTCAAAGTGTTAAAGGTTATGTTATCAAGGTAAAATGGTGGCCTTTGGAGGAATTCCTTCTGTTGTCTCTTCCATTCCTGTACCTGGATATTGCAAAGTGAGGCCCCTTACACATCCATGCAGTGGAGAGCTCCAGAGAGTTCTAGAAGCAATGAAGTGATCATTGTTTGAAACTTTTTCTCTCATTTATTTTATGAAACTATGTACTAACTTGAGTCAAACAAAAACAATGTTAGTTATTGTCTCATTACACAAGACATGTTTAGGTCAAAGCTGGCAAGAAAAATCCATTTTCCAAGTACTGGTGGGTGATAACATTCATATATTTGCTGGCTAGGAGTTTGGTTTATCTGTGGAATTGTGATTTTAAACATTAGCCTCGCTGGCACCCAACATATAGGAACCATAAATACTTCCAGAGAATGCTGCTGCCTGGGGCCTTTCAGCATATTCCAAGTATTGACAGGAGAGTATTAAAAACTGCACTAAAAACACAACCACCAGTGCTACTGAGGTAGATTTCACAGATGTGAATCCACCTCTGGAGCAAATAAATCTCTGTCCTGTGTTAACGGTTGCTTGGAACCCAGGAGGGAAAACATTGGCAAAATATACATCTCTATTCCAAAAACACAAGGCAAGCTCTTGCAAGCTCTATGGGTCTATAAAATGCACCCATGTCTAACCCAGATCCACAAGATGAAATGTAGACCTCAGAGAATACTGAGGAAGGGAATGTTTCCTGGCTAACAGTACCCAGTGGGCACAGTTTATGCAGAGTGACAGCTTTTTCCAGAGAGCAGATGGAAAATGATGGAAGAGATTTGGCCAAAAGAAGGTAGCATAATATTGCTATGTAAGATTTTCAGACACTCTATCAAGAAGCAGCTGTGTGATCTGCATCTTTGAGGGCATTACTTTGGTCATTATTTCAAAATCTCATCTAAGCCCATGAAACTCACCATCACCAGTTAGGAGTTTCCTGGGGCTCATGTTTCATGAACATGTTCATGTTTTATAGCAATATAATCTATGATTGTTGCTCTTTCATATTTTCTTTTTTTTCTTTTTCTTTTTTGAGTCGGAGTCTCAACTCTGTCACCCAGGCTGGAGTGCAGTGGCACGCTCACAGCCACCCCAGCATTGACCTGCTGGGTTCAGGTGATCCTTCCACCTCAGCCTTCCAAGTAGTTGGAACTACAAGCATGCGCTACCACACCCGGTTAATTTTTGTATTTATTGTAGAGATGAGGTCATGCCAAGTTGCCCAGGCTGGTCTCGAACCCCTGGGCTCAGGCAATCCTCTTGCCTCAGCCTCCTAAAGTGCTGGGATTATGGGCTTGAGCCACTGAACAGAGCATAGATAACCACATATATATATTTTCTAATTATTTATATATGTGGTTATCTATGCTCAGTGCACAAAATCACTATATGTAACCATGGAATACTTTTCATTTTCTGTATCAAAACTAGTTATAACCAATACACCAAACTATACTTTAGAGGCTCAAAGAAATCTGCTTATAATTCTGCTACAGATGCAAAGCCCAATGAGGAAAGGAAATAAAATTCACAAGGCTGGAATCAGGTTTCTAGAGGCTACTGATCATAATAGACTATTAATGTGAATCTTGTATTACTTAAAAACTTCCTATAATAACTGCTTTAATATTAATATATGAACAAATCCTCCCACTTCAGAGTTCAGAGCAAATGGTGACATTCTAAACAAGTATGATCTGAGTAAGCACTTTAGGAAATACTTAACTATATGTACACATGTATCCATAACTCCAAATTTTAACCGGGGTAGAGCTGACTATGAAACACTGAGATATGATGAATTGAAGTATTTTAAATATTAACAAAAATGTAATGACACAAATTCACTAACAAACAGGGCAAATCTTGCAAAATTCAATATTAATTACACTTTTATAGTTTAGGTATAAATTACTCCACTCTTCTATATACCATGCAAATTGGGGCTCTGGCAGTAAAATGCATAGCCTGCAGCTTTACAAGGGAGAAATGATAGTTTCTGTTGCTATTGAACATGAAAACAATTCAGTGACAGTAATTACAATACTGTAGCTTCCAAAGTCTCCATCATCTGCTGATTACAAACTGAAAAGAACAATCTTCAATTTTTTCCTGTGAGCCTGGGGAGAGTTACAGCTCTCAGAGAGAAGACAAAGTTAAAGCCTCTGTAATAAGCAAGCTTCAGAAATTGCTGACCCAAGGTTTTTCCTCAGGCTGCTAGACTTCCTTCTCTCTGCAGTGTGACAGACATGCCCTTCCACTTGACTAAGAAAAGCATAGGAGTTCAAAAACACTCCCTAAGGGTCTGGGGACATGCCAAAATGCACAGTTGCAGCCCATACATTTTTTCCCTGTATTTTTACCCTTAACTCAACAATCATTAACAAAACTTGCCATACGTCTGTCTTCCTACCTTGATATGGGAGGCGTTAATGTATCCTGTGTTATTTTCTTTGGTTGGTATCAGCTCTACACGATTCTCCTCATAGGGGACAACTTCACGGATTCGACTGCGTTCAGCATTTTCTGGCAGAGCTGCTGTGCTGAAAATGCCATTTGCCTTCTTCTTTGGAATTTGCTCATATTCTGTGAATACCATTCCCTCTTCTAGCTTCTTCTTCAGGGTTCTGAACTGCAACAGAAATGGATCTTCAGCTCTCTCAATTATCTTACTCCAGAACTCCAATAAACAAACAAATTTCTGTACATACTGACAGTGATAGTGTTAACAAGGGATTTCAAGATGCACAACTAATACTTGATTGCTTGGTTTCATTATTAACCACGTTGTTAGTTTCTCTTGTTCACTAGCCATTTCCCTTCTCACTCATACCGTAAGTAGAATGAATCTGCAAGGACTGGCAAGTGCTGAAATTGAAAAAAAATCAATATTTCTGCTATCGATATCTCTGTTTAAAGTCCTAAGGAAAAGGAGATTGTGAATCTTAATTATTCAGACATCCTTTTCTCCATTTACAGAGCTGCTTCTACTAAGCTATTTTTAGATTCTAGATTCTTGTTCCACAGTTCTATACTGTCAAGGATTAAATCCCCCTCTTTTTTCCCCACTCCTTGGCCAAACTACTAATATAATATTAATTGAATTAAAGAATCCTTCTAAAGTTCCTTCTGGCTCTAAATACATTCTAATTCTAGATACATACTGGCAGAAGTCTAATACCCTGATGTTATTAGCACTCTATTAAATTTATACAACCTGTTTCTTAACCTTCTGACAGCAACTTCGGGTACTAAAGGAACTTCTTCACCTTTACAATACTACCATGCAACTACTTTCTGCTTTTCGAACCAAAATTCTTCAGTATATGATCTGGGAGTGTTAAAATAAAAAATATAAAAAATAAATGTAAATAAACAAAGCCAATGTCCTCATAATGCTTTTTCCTAACAACTAAAAATCAGCTACATTTTATAGCCATATAAGGGGACAGCATATTTTAAAAACTCTATAAATGCATGGGTAAAATGATTACTTCCTAAGAAACAGGAATCATTTTTAAAAAATCAGACATTGAGAGCTATAGCAATTGTTCAACTTCCACATTTTAAAAATAGGTCCAAAGAAATTCAGTGACGTGCCCAGGTGCAGTGGCTCAAGCCTATAATCCCAGCACTTTGGGATGCTGAGGTGAGGGGATTGTCTGAGGCCATGGGTTTGAGAACAGCCTGGGCAATTTGGCAAGACCTCATCTCTACAAAAACTCAAAAAATTAGCCGGGTGTGGTAGTGCACTCTTGTAGTTCCAGCTACTTGGAAGGCTGAGACGGAATGATCGCCTGAGACCAGCAGGTCGATGCTGGGGTGACCATGAGCATGCCACTGCACTCCTGCCTGGGTGACAGAGTGAGATTCCAACTCAAAAAAAGAAGAAATTAAGTGACTTGATCAGGTCATACAGGTTGTTCGGGGCTGGTGGTTTTAGGTAAGCATCAACCTGCCAACCTGACACAGCAGGGAGACTGGAAAGAAGAAACATCAGATGGTGGAAAGGCCTGAGTTAATGCAACACAGTTATGCTCAATCTTCTAATCTCAAATTGAAGAATTAATGCATCAAACACATTTTAGTGCTGGCATGCTTGGGCAAGGAGGATGTTGTGAGGTCCTAAGACCACAGAAAATGAATCACATTTGACGAACATAGCACTTACCCTCTCGTCCATGGGAACTCTGGTGGCATCAACTCGACTCTCCTCCCGCCCTGTGACTCGAGCCACTGAGAGCCCGTTCAGCGCTGCCAACATCAGCGGCCTCTTCTGTGCCTCCAGGCCTGCCATCTTCTGCTTTTCTAGATTCTTGTGGCAAGAAAAGGCATGTTCTCATTGTTTCTAATACCAGTAGAATGTTGGAATGTGTTTTAATCTCCCCAAATCTGTAGCTCCCCAGCCAAGGAATGCAGACAATCACCATGAGTAGGGCGAATTCAAACACAGCCTTTCCATTATTCCTACTATGCCCGCAGAAACTCGTTCCTACAGGACTCTTGAGCTTTTATTTTTAATTAATTAATTCATTAGCCAGGTAGACAAATAAATAAAAGACTCCTTACAGACACACCCTGCCATAGGGCTCACATACACACAAACAGGGTATGTGCAATAAATACACTTCAGAAAGATAAGGGGTGAAGGAAGACAGGACAAGGAAAAGAGACAAGAGTCACATGAATCATCTAATTCAATCATCTACCGTGATGGGCCTTTGCACAGATGGAATGGGGCAAAACCTGTAAAACAGTTTGCTGTGTTGTTGACCAAGAGATACAGGCACACACGACTGTAGAGAAAAATCTTGCTAGATGTGCAGCCTTAAGGATATAACGCTCAGGATGTTATCCCACATTGAACCTCTGGTTTTGGGGTACCTGATGATGATATCTTCCCCAGATAAGAGCTGATGTGGTTTAGTGAACTCACTATGCTTCATCTGGGGGCCCACAAAAATGGATGCAGTGGCTCACAAAGTCTGTGGTGGGACCTCACTGATGCCACCAAGTTATAGAGGAATGCAGATGTGCGGGCTGAGCAGAGCACTTAGGGAAAGATTTTGATGTTTACACTTGGTGGCTCTAGTTTGTGTCTTTTTGATTTCCATCCTTTCCATTTGAACTTCTACTCTGAAACTGGATCAGTTAGGGTCAGTTGTTAGGAGATTCCTGCGCTTTCTCATGTCTCTGAAACTGACAAGAGGTACGGGAAAAAAAAATCTCTCTTTACTCACTTTAGGCAAGCAACAAAAAGCCTTTCCTAAAAATAATTTTGTCTTAGACATTAAGGGAAGAGCAGAGGAACTTCATAAAGCACAGAAACAGATGAGTTTTACAGAGTTTTAGGATTTTGGTCCACAATGAAGTGCAACCAATTGCGCATTCATTAGACCATGATAGAGGAAGGGGTCATCTCATTCTTGGTTTCGTTTCAACCCTTTAGAGACTTTTCCCCTTATTCTATGCTTTACACATTTGCTTCCCAGGAAGATGTATTGATGGAGCTGTCACCAGAGTGAATGGATTATTCTAACTGTGGGTGAAGGGGACTGCATTACTCTCTCCGTGTGTCTCATCGGTTCCACAATGTCACCCACCATCAGAAGGGAGCCCGTGTGAGTGACACTGCCAACAGAATGCTTGTTCCAGTGACAGGGCCAACCCACCGGGTAAATCAAAGAACCATCTCCCAGATTAACGCTAAGAAAGTGAGAAAAGGACCTTTCAGATTAAAGGTATAGTATTCTAAAGAATGGCTCTTGACAGCACGCCCCTATAGTTCCAGCTACTCGAAAGGCCGATCGCCGGAGTTCAGCAGGTCGAGGCTGTGGTGGTCGTGAGTGTGTCACTGCACTCCAGTCTAGGCGACAGAGTGAGACTCCAACTCAAAAAAAAAAAAAAAAAAGAATGGGCTTAGTTTCTCAATTCCAGGTACCCCAGGAGGGAGAGTTTGGGATTTAAGTTTTTAGGTCTTTGCTGGTTTGCAAGTAGTTTTTATGAAAGAATTTTCTTTCTTGTCACCTCTTTCAGTTGGGACTATTGCACTCCTCTCCAAAGTTTTGAGAAAGCAATAATTCTGGAAAATTGGTTCAGAGCTTCTTGACTGTCTTTCTGTTTTCCTCCCTATGTTTCCCTATCTGGACCTTGAACACAAAGTAACTAGTCTTCCTTAAGAAAGGATTATTACCACCTAGTGAACACTGAAACTCTGGTGATAAATCAAACCATGTCTCTTAGCTCTTTCTTACACATTTTATCAGCTTGTATCAGAGATATAAAACAAACAACTCAAGATCTAATCTGGCTTTTTCTCCTCACTGCATCTGACTGCAGGTTTTGGGGCTACAAACAGTAGGTACTGGAAGAAGGAGCCACAGAGGCAGCAGGCTTGAATCACCCATCAAATAGACAAGCAGCTCCAGAATTATGGAGTCCCCAGAGGGCAAATTCTCACCATACCTACAACCCCCTCTACCCGTTTTCATTTGCTACAAGTTTCTCATTGTTTTCTTATCAAGAAGGCCCTAGGATGCACTCCTCATCCCTTACCCCCACATACCCATGCCCAACAAGCCAGCAAAAGCTGCCCTTAGAGAGGAAGGTAGAGAACTATCTGACATGTGGGGATACTGTTTCAGCCATGAGAGGAGTTTCTGCATTTAAAAAAAAAAAAGAAAAGAGAAAGAGATAGAGACTCATCTTGAGATCAGAGACGCCGGCACTGTAACGATTTTGCCTGGCCTCCCGACTCATTAAAGAACCTCCAAATCCACCTCCAAGGTCTGCTGGATGCTTGAGTGTATGCAATTTGGAAAAAACAAAACAAAACAAACAAACAAACAAAAAAACGGGCAAAATGAAGTAAGAATGGGATATTTATTTTCTTGAATTAAAAGTCAGTGAATAAAATTTGCTAGTCACTATTATTCACATGATCGGAGTGGAATAGCACATGGAGGAAAAAAATGTAGTGAAAAACACCGTTTCTTTGATAACGCAGAGCATTCTACGTGGGAGATCAGGGCCACAATTTTGGATATAGTCTACTTGTTAAAGTATACGTAACAAGAGAAGAAGATGAAGATGATCCTATTGAGATTATAGGGCCATGTGGACAACAGCAAAAAATCGAATTGTCAGAGGAAATAGCTTGAGGTCCACTGTTTAGACGGACAGGTTCTTGATGCCAATATTACTTTAAAGGGGCCTAGGGCCAAAAGCATTGAAAAATCCCTTTCTACCAATGAGTTACTTTGTCCTATGCTGAGAAAGCTCTCTCCTCAGCAGCACCCACTCATGCACTTCCCTCCATTCTCAGTCAAAGGTTTTCTTTGCTAGAGGCACAGGCATATCTTCTACTACTTCCCTCTAGATTTGCAAAAACTGGAAAAAGTCATGTCTGTATTAAAAATTCGTAGCACTACTCTACTATGGCAAAAAATGTGAGGGGGAGAATGTTAAGATTTTTCAAAAGTAACAAAGTTGCTACAGATTAAACTCCTGAATCTAGGAACTTGGCTTCCTTAAAATCTTGGCTCTGGGCTGGGCTTGGTGGTTCAGCCTGTAATCCCAGCACTTTGGGAGGCTGAGGTGAGTGTATTGCCTGAGCCTGCGGGTTCAAGACCTGCCCGGGCAATTTGGCAAGACCTCATCTCTACAATAAAACAAAAAATTAGCCGGGCGTGGTAGCACGCGCCTGTAGTTCCGGCTACTGAAGGCTGAGGCGGATGGATCATCGGAGCCCAGGAGGTCGAGGTTGCGGTGGCCGGAAGTGTGCTACTGCACTCCAGTCTGGGCAACGGAGTGAGATTCCAACTCAAAATATAAAAAAAAAATAATAAAATAAAATAAAATCTTGGCTCTTGATTGTTCTTTTCATGTTGATTCCCAAGGATGGGTTAGGAAGACCTATAAATAAAGAGAGTCTAATGAACTCAATTAAAGCAAGTTTTTAAAATTTAATTTAATTTAATTTTTTTGAGTTGGAATCTCACTCTGTCGCCCAGACTGGAGTGCAGCGGCCGCTCCCGGCCACCGCAGCCTTGACCTGCTGGGCTCCGGTGATCCTTCCGCCTCAGCCTTCCAAGTTGCTGGAATTACAGGCACGCACTACCACGTCCGGCTGATTTTTTGATTTATTGTAGAGATGAGGTCTCACCTGCCCAGGCGGGTCTCGAACCCGCGGGCTCAGGCAATCCACTCACCTCAGCCTCCCAAAGACACGGGATTACAGGCTGAGCCACCGAGCCCGGCTTAAAGCAAATTTTAATTACAAGCTCTGGAGTTTCTAAAACCTTACGGTGCAGTTGTGGTAAATGGAAATAAGTCAATCTGGGTTTGATTAGTTGCAACTAAATAATTTTTTAAGGAAATGAAAGTTTCCAGGACAAGCACCAATGAAGATTTTTAAAAGTAGTAACTATAACCATCTTCTCATTTATAAAAGACAGATGCACTTTGTTGTTCTACATATCTATCTGTTACCTGTCCTAGGTTCTGACAATATAACCAACATCCCAGATCGTACATTTTTTTTAAGAGATAGGATCTCATTATGTTGACCAGGCTGGAGTGCAGTGGTTACTCACAGGCACAATCATGGCACACCACAGCCTCAAACCCCTGGCCTCAAAGGATCCTCAGCCTCCTGAGTAGTTGGGACTACAGGTGTATCACACTGCCACTGGCTCCTACATATTATTCTGAAGGTTTCCTCAGTATCTAATACCAGGATGTATCTTCATATGTAATAAGTATGTATATGTATGTATGTGTTCACACACATGTATGTGAATTTTTTACAGAATGAGTTCAATAAGAAATTGAAGCTCAATGGTAAACCTGAGTTATATATCTGATTATTATCATTTTACTATATTTGTGTTGAACATCTATTGAAAAAAAACCTGAAAGTAAACTAGAGGTATCACAGTCCAGACAATAGTTTGGCGAGCTCTCCTGACATACAGATCTATACAGGAAGCTGTGTAGGGATGTTGCTCTTTGAATATCTAACTGGGGAGGGGGAACACTTTCCATTAAGAAAACAAAACACCCAGAGATATAGAAAGGCGAACTTTCAGCAACTCATATAACAGAAATTCTGAGCCTTAAATAAACAGCAAAATGCTGGTGGAGACACTGACTTCAATAACGTACCAAGCATATCTGTTAGAAACTATAAATGGGAATGGAAGGTTATTCGAAAGGGCAAAAACTCCATGTGCAGTGAAATAAAATACTATCTGTTTAAACGGCCAGTGATACCAGCCCCATTGCCTGAATAAACCTCACCCCTTCCTCGGTGCCTCAAGCACGTCTGTCTGCCCCCACACTAGCAAACGCCCTGGGAGAGGAGGACACTCACCCTGATCATCATCTCCCTCTCTATAATGCTGTCCTCCAGGGAGAACATCTCGGACACGGGTCTCTCCTTCACAGGCTCTTTCTTGACCCGTTCCTTCACGCTGGTCAGGTCGGGCTCGGAGATGGATGGGCCGAGAGAGGCCCCGTTGACCGCCTGAGGGTCGGCTCGGGACACGCTGATGGCCTTGGCCGGCCCATGCCTCAGCACCCTGGCTCTGGCCACAGCAGGAGGAAGGCCGGCCTGCTCCTGCCTCAGCGCCCCGTTGCTCACACTCTTCCTGGGCCCGGGGTACTCGGGCGGGGGCTTGTTGGGAATGCGGGCCAGGGCTGCCTGCAGCTGGGCGCTGTACTCCATCTTCTCCCGGAGCACGGGGATCTGGGGTACCGACTCTGGAGCCTCCTCCTCCTCCTCGCTCTCACTGCTGTGGATCAGCATGGTGGCATCGGAGAAAGTCTTCTTGTGGTGATACTGAGGAAGCTGGGGAACCTCGTGGCTGCCCGGCGCCCCCTCTGGCGGGCCCTGCTCCCGGAAGGTGCTGCGGCGAGCCATGGGGAGGTGGAGCGACTGGAGCGTCATGGCCTCCATTCCTCGCACCATGCTGTTCATCACCTCCAGGCTGTGGCGCTTGTTCACCGTGCCGTGGTGCTTGGTGGCCGTGAGGGGCTCGCTCACCTCCTGGAGAGACTGGTGCACCACTGGAGAGCTGTCCTCCTGGAAGGTCTTCACCGAGAGCTGCACCTTCCGGGTCACCAGGTCCGGGCTACTGCCGCTGACGTACCTGTGGCGATGGCTGGCGAGGTCGGGGGTGCTGGTGGCAGGGCGTGGCCGTGGGTAGGGGGGCGGAGGCCTGAAGAGATAGTTCTTGAGCATATGGGCCGCGCTGTAGTTCTGGGTGCCTTGCAGCTGCATGTTGGCCAACTCCGGGGTGCTCACCGTGTGTGAGATGGCACTTGCCCCTGGCTTGCTGGGCACCACGTTATTCTTCGGGTTCATCGGGTCAGATGGACTGACCAGTTTGTTGCTATAGCCCCCCTGGGGCCCATAGGGAGCAGTGTAGGGGTGTCTCTCCCGCATCTCTGGTTGGCTGTACACCAGATTCTCTGGCTGGTTGTAGGCATGCGTGTTGATGATGTTGAGATTTCTCAGAGACTGGCTCTGGCTGTCCGCGTGCATTATCCCCCTTTTCATTTGCCGCATGACTGTCTCATAATCGGGGGTCGGCCTGTAAGAGGGCACAATGATGGCGCTGTGACGGTGGCTAGGGATATAGTCAGCCCGCATGATGTCACTCCCTGGGATACTGAGGTTGGAGGATACCGGGGAGGCCTGGATGAAACTCTGTGAGCAGCTGAGGGAGTTGACACTGTGAACGCTACACACGCTGCCATTGGTGACGGTGCCATTTAAGTAGTTTAAGTCCAAGCTGTTGTGAGAGTTGCAATAAAAGGCTTCTTCGTTTCCATGGAAAATGCTGTCTACAAGAAGTCAAACAAAGGCATGTGAACCTCCAAGCTATCCTGCCACAACATAGTTCATCCTCATACTCATGAGGTGACACTGAATTTAAATAAGTCATTTAAAGGGAAATCCCACGGCCCCCACCCACATGTTCCACAGAAAAGCTGATACTATCCTTGGATGATGTGCATACATACAGAAAAGCCTTAGAGTATACTGAAAAGAGAAAGTGAACCTAAACAAAGAAAGGTATGCCCATATGAAATCAGTGTCTTCTGGGTTAAAGTTCTCAATTTTGTCATGAACTTTGAAATCAGGCACCAACAACGGCCCTCGAGTTGGGTAGACCTGTCCTCCTGTGCAGAGTTTAGCAACAGGACTGGCTATCTGGACCAGGAAATCAAGAACTTTAATAGGGTGAGAGATTTCAATTACTAAGTGCTTGGAAATGTTCTTCCTGATGACGATGAAAAAGGTCTCTTTACCCAAGGGACTGCTGAGCCTTCATAAAGAAGAGAAATAATGTAGCAGGGATCAGCACAGCTAGCTCATTTTGAACAGCAACCAATGAAGGGCACAACTAATATCAAGAGTTCTTTTTAAGCCGGGCGGTGGCTCGGCCTATAATCCCGCGCTTTGGGAGGCTGAGGTGAGTGGATTGCCTGAGCCAGAGGGTTCGAGACCCGCCTAGGCAACTTGGCGAGACCTCATCTCTACAACATAAAAAAAACAAATTAGCCGGCGTGGTAGCACACGTCTGTAGTTCCAGCTACTTGGAAGGCTGAGGCGGAAGGATTGCCAGAGCCCAGCAGGTCGAGGCTATAGTGGCCGGGAGCAGCCACTGCACTCCAGTCTGGGAGACAGAGTGAGAAGCCAACTTAAAAAAAAAAAAGAGTTCTTTTTAGCTGCTCCTAAAATCCTCCTCCAGATCTGGTTTCATAATTGAGGTAAAATCAAGTAAAAATTAATTATAGTTTAAAGAGGTACCCAAAGGAAAAAAAAGTAGATTTCTCAAGTCAGGTCCATTCTACCTGCCTAATGTTCCTTTAAGACACAGACACAGACATAGACACACATACACACACCTGCCCCAAGGAAGACAACCTCTTGTCAACACACTTTTCTGAGGCCAAAATATATTCATTTTCACACTACAGATTTCAGCATGAGCAGAGGAAGACAGAGTCAGAAAAGGTGAAAAATAGAAAAGGTGATTTAAAAGGTTCAACTGCCTGAAGAGGAGGGCATGGACAGGACACAGAGCTGATTAGATGAGACTGGCAAGAAAAACGAGAACACAGAGATGAATGTGTTGTAATTTGTCCACCTCCCATGGGTTCTGTTGCCTTCTCATGGAAGTGGGGTAAAACTTGGCTAGGCTGCTCAATTGTCTTAGTTTTCATGCTTATACTTTCACATTGCAGAGAATCCAAAATAGCCAGGAGATGACAACATAAAAACGAATTATCCATTTAATATATTGTCAACATGCAAGGTTTTCTATCATCTTTTTTTTTTGAGATGCAGTTAGTATAATGATTAAGAAATCTTATTTTCATATCCAAGCTCCACCTTTAACCTCTGTACCCTAATTTCTATATCTGTAAAATGAAAACAATAACAGTACTTATAGGTTTATTCACTGAGACAATATGTAGCAAGTACTTAGAACAGTACCATATTTGCTCTGTAAATATTATCATTAGAAGTGTCACTACTATTAGAATAGGCCTTTTTTACACATTTTGCTTTGGGTATGTTTTGGGAGAAAAAGAGGAATAAAACATTTTCTTTACTCTGAGAACCATCAAGTAAGTGCACTTTCTCAAGGGGTTGGAGAGAGAGATGAGAAAAACAGCTAAAACAAAGGGCTGAGAGTGTGTCTTTTTTCCAGTTACTCTGCATATTCCTGCTCTCTGTTATCAACTGGCTTTGTGAGCTTTCTTTTATCAGCACTGTAGGTAAAGTGCCTTCAGGTGGGCTGAGCTGCCACACCCTCTTCTCTAAACTCACTTAGGAAAGGAAGGAGAAAAGAACTTGCTGGCTGCCTTGGCCTCAACTCCCCGAGCAGCCAGTACCGAGCACATTTTTCTATCATGGGTAACTGATATTCTGATATTCTAGGCCTTTCACAAAGTGAAGTTGCTGGCTACTGTCACTCAGATAATGACAGAGTTAAAACAGAAACAGTCTTCTTTACTACTCAGCGTTATTCAGCTTTGTGTCTTAAGAAGGGAAGAGGGCAAGGCAGAGTTACCTTGGGAGGTGTGTGTTTCCGAGTAGTGCTCACCACACTGGACATGCACGGGAGGCAGGATGTACGGCTGCTGCCTGGGCTGAAACAGAGAACACAGCAGAGGTGGGATGCCTGGGCAGGAAGGACCATCGACTCACACAGAGCCAGCCCAGCTCACAGAAGTCAGGAAGGTTCTGGGCAGCCGCTCTACCTGCCAACCTTGTGACCCACTCCTAATTCCACTCATTTATACCCCCATCTCATCACTAAGTTTGGGGCTAGACAAATGACAAGAAAGAAATGAAGGTGGTTTAAAAAAAGAAAGAGGTTACAATCAGAAGACTAAATGTATCTATTGTATTTACTACTACTAGCTTTACATCTACTGTATTTACTAATATTTTAATACATATGCAATGTTATCCGTGCCTTCTTTCACAAGAAGAACTTAGAGAAGGTAAATTATTATAACCCATCTAAGAAATGAGAATAAGGGGGACACCTGTTTTGTTCTATTCAAAATTCTATTTCTAAGTTTCTCTACCTCAGCAAAGCTTCACCTACAACCCTAGTTCACAGCTCCACATCAAACTCAAACAGGGACCAGTGAGTGGTCAGCTGGGCCCAATGGTAAATTTTTATAAATATCTAAAATGTGACTCACAACAATAAGTGTGAGGTTCTCAAGACCACTTACTGACTCTTTCCCTTACAGAACCAAATATGGGAAGGACCCTGGCAGGAAACCCACCCAGTTCAATAATCTACCCAACCCCCCAAATGCCAATCTTTTCCATTAGTCCCCCCAAAAGAGAATCTTTTCCATTAACCCCCCAAATGCCAATCTTTTCCATTAGCCCCCCAAAAGAGAATCTTTTCCATTAGTCTCTTAAAGGTGGCAACTTAGGCTCAACCTAAATAATTTCCCATTACAAAAGTGGGTAACACTTTTAGAGAAGGAAAAATACTTGGATTATATATTTGGTGAGGCAACAAAAGAAATATGATTATTCATTAATGTGATCCAAGCAAGTCATTTAACCTCAATAGGTCTGTTTCCTGTAAATCATATCAAGCTCCTTCCTCTCCCCACCTCAAGTATTATTATTATTTTTTTTTTGAGTTCGAGTCTCACTCAGTCGCCCAGGCTGGAGTACAGTGGCACATTTATGGCCACTGCAGCCTCAACCTGCTGGGCTCAGGTGATCCTTTCAGCTCAGCCTTCCAAGTAGCTGTAACCATAGGCACCCGGTTAATTTTGTGATGTGTAGACGAGGTCTTGCCAAGTTGCCCAAGCTGACTTCAAACCCCTGGGCTCAGACAATCCTCTTGCCTCCACCTCCCAAAGTGCTGGGATTAGAGGCGTGAGCCACTGTGCCTGGCAAGCATTATCCATTTTACTTATATATTGAGATTCTAGGTAAGAGTTGGCTTGAAAAAATAATTTTGATGTGGAAAAAAGCAGAAACCAAAAAATTCTTCTATTTGTAAGCCACCAAACAGGATGAGCACCTTCATTTCTATAGCTATTATTTTAAACGTTACTGTTTTAAGAGAGAAGAAACTGGGAATCAAACCAAGAAACCCAAAGCCAGCAGGGGTCATACTTTCTCAGCATCCCTCAAGAGAAGAAGATTACTTGACAGAGCTGGAAGCTGCGTAAATAACTCACCTATCATTTTTTCTGCTACAAACAAGGCTTGAGCATCAAAAGGACAAATAAAGAAGGTAAGAAAGAGATTCAAAAATAAAAGAAATCAAGAGAGAAGAAATGAAAATTGAAACAGTTAATCTAACAAAGTAGTTTGGGATACCAAAGAAAAGGTGCTATATTACTTCTAAATATTCCCAAATCTCCCTTTGGCTGATTTTTGAGTTGCAATTTTAAAATACTTTCCCCTTTCTTGGCAATACATGATTCAAGTCAAGTTTTCCATGATAGAACAGTTGGTTTTAAGGCTTAGGGTTAAAAAAAAAAAACCAAAACAGTGAGGAGGGATTTGTATATGGAAATAGAAATACATGGCAAGGCAAAAATGTCTACTACTTTTCTTGCTTTTATTAAAAAAACAAAGAAATCCAGTAAGTGACTGCCTTTGAACTGGCATAGCATACATGCAAAGAACAACAGTGGCTAATCTTCCAAACACCATTGCAGGATTATTTATTTCATTCTTTCTATGTTTTAATATATTATTCCATTTCTTGCCAGACCTGCTAATACAGAAACAAATTAGATGCCATAATATAGGCAGAGAAGAGCAAGAGAAAAACAGCAATTAGAAGTCCTGTTATCAGCAAGGAAGCCAAGTGATGTTAGTTGGCTTTAATTCTCACTAATTGCAAGGAACTCTTGGTGAAATGGTTTGAACCTAAAGGGCAGGGGGAAAGGGGAAGCAATGATTTGGACCAGGCTTCCTAGACTGTCTCTATCCAAATAAAACAGGTAAACCTCTGCATCTTCTCTGGGTAATGAGGACAATCAGATCACAAGACAGTCTTAAATACTTTGCTTCCCATGGTGCTTCATGGATATAAATGAAAAATTATCTCACTAATTAAGACACTTGGACTCCAAAGAAGGGAAAAGAAAAATGACATTGATAAAAGAGAAGAATAAAGAAACCAGTGCCATGAACAACCAGTGCCATGCTATTACTGCTCCAGGGGTGCCCCATAGATCTACTGGGCAAAGGGCCACATGTGAGCTAGTGTAGATGATTTTGAGATTAATAAATGTACACAAGCACTCAGGAATTATGATGTGATGATATAATGGTTAAACTTAAGAATTCCAAGAGTCCATGTCTATGCATTTTCTGGAAAAAAAGTATATTCCTCAAAACTTTTCTTTTAAAAGACAAATTAAAGACATGCAGTAGACATTGAATATGAAGAAAAAAATCAATTATATTCTATCAACTTAAAGGAACTGCTCACCTAGAAATATAAAAAGGCCCTATGTTTATTTCGATTTTCTGTAAAATATCATAACCTAAAATGAAAGAATTGTGGGCTAGGTGCAGTGGATCATGCCTGTTATCTCAGCCCTTTGAGGAGGCAGAGGTGGGAGAATCACTTGAGCCCAGGAATTTTAGACCAGCCTGGGCAACATAGCAAGACCTTGTCTTTACAAAAAATAAAAAAAAATTAGCTGAGCATGGTGGCGCACACTTGTAGTTACAGCTACTTGGGAGGCTAAGGTGGAAGGATCTTCCAAACCCAGAAGATAGAGGTGCAGTAAGCCATGATTGTGCCATTGCACTTTAACCTGGGTGACAGAGCAAGACTCCATTAAAAAAATATTATGAGTTAAAACAAGCAGAAAATGTACAAATTCATCACATACTTCTATCGTATTATCTTTGAGTATTCCTCAAAATAAAACACAGCCTAAGATAGAATACATGCATTGAAATTAGGATTATGTTCTCTGTTTGCCTGATGAGGACAGCAGTTTAAAAAAAAAGCAGCAGCAGTGAAGGCAAAAAAGTAGATCAATTCAAATTTTGTTGGCTAACTAAAGCCTTAAAATTTGAAAATGTACAATCAAATTTCTCAACCAGATATTCTACTTGAGACCATCAATTAGGCTCATTCAATTTTTGGTCATTTAAAAAGCATTTTCTGACTAAGGTATTAAGCTCCATCTATGGCAGTGAAAAAAACCCCCAAAAACTGTGAAGCTTATATCTAAAGATGTCTTCATGCAACCACCAGAAGAGATGATCAAGTGGATAAAAACACTCCATAGGTTGTAAATGCTGAAGGAACAGGGTGTCACTGGCCTGGAATAAGACTCACTCATAGTGGGGAACCCTGAGCCACCCGCAGAGTAGAGATTGAACATGGTTGGGTACAAGAGGGACAAAATGGGTGTGCATTACACCTGCTTGGCAGGATGTCGCCTCTCTGAGTACCTGGTCATGCTGTCCTACTCACCTCTTCCTTCAAATTAATGATATAGGACACTTAACAGTCAGACCACTTGATTGCTGAGGATTTTATACATACCAGAGAGGACCGGCTCCAGGTGGGCTGGCGTCTGATGGGGGGTGGAGAATTTGACTGTCTACATGAAAAGGTGAAAAATAACAAGGGTTTATTGATCAGATATAAAAAGATCAGATAGACAAGGAAGGGAGAGAAGGGGAAAATAGACAAGACTGGTAATAATTCCATCAACATACAGACATTGCTTATTCCTGTTTGATGATGCTAAGAACAATTTCAATTTCCTTTTTTTCCCTTTATTTTTGAAATGTCTGGAACACAGAATGCTTTTGTAATAAGTTTTACAATGTATTCCATATTAAAGGAATGAGGTTTATTTCTATAGCAGGATTATGAAGGAAATAAGGCTAAAATATCATTATTATATGAATTTATAATCCAAAATCCAAAATAGATAAAATGTTGGAATATGCCAACATAAAGATAAGTTTTTATTAAGATAATACATTTTACAAAGATTTACCTGATCAGATCCTTTCCAAACTGAGAATCAACATAGATATTTTTTTCTTTTTTTTGAGTTGGAGTCTCACTTTGTCACCCAGGCTAGAGTGCAATAGCACGCTCACGGCCACTGCAGCCTCAAACTACTGGGCTCAGGTGGTCTTCTACCTCAGCCTTCCAAGTAGCTGAAACCACAGGTATATGCCACCATGCCTAGCTAAATTTTTTTTTTAATGGGAGTCTCACTCCGTTGCCCAGGCTAGAGTGCAGTGGCATGCTCATGACCACCCCAGTGTTGACCTGCTGGGCTCAGGCGATCCTTCCGCCTCAGCCTTCCAAGTAGCGGGAACTACAACCATGCACTATCACACCCAGCTACTTTTTATTTATTGTAGAAATGAGGTCTTGCCAAGTTGCCTGGGTTGGTCTAGAACGCACAGGCTCAGGCAATCCACTCGCCTTGGCCTCTCAAAGTACTGGGGTTAGAGGCTGAGTCACTGAGCCTGGCCAATTTTTTAATTTATTGTAGAGACCAGGTCTCACCTTGTTGCTCAGGCTGGTCTCGAACCCCTGAGCTCAGGCAATCTTCTTGCCTCTACCTCCTAAAGTGCTGGGATTACAGGCTTGAGCCACCATGCCCAGTCCAACATAGATTTATTTTTAAAACAAAAAACGAAAACAGATAAACATGAACTACAAATATCAACAATTCTTGAGAACTGAAATCTAAGGTGTCTTCAAGTATTGAGTCTCAAATGTCATAACACTTCTTAGACTTCAGTGTTATCATTAAAAAAACAAAATCAAAAAACCAGGACATGTAGTTTTCTGTCCAGCTAAAGTTCTTTAATTTAAAGGATTCTCCTTATTCTGAAAGTTCATCCTTCCTCCCTTTTTGGTGATAAAATGTATTTTCTTTTATGAAATGATGGAGACAATGTACTAATGTTAGGCTGTTTAAATGATTGGCCAAATACAATATTATCAGGCCTGTGTTCAACATACTCCTCCCATTTCCTCTACCCATGTCAAGAAACCCAGAAACCACCACTTTTTTGAGCTATAGCTCCAGATGACAAGCAGTGGCCCCACAGGAGCAGAAAAATTAGCAAAGTCAGAGAGTAAAGACCTCTGGAGAAGGATGCTGCTGTTCATACATGGAGAGGAATGCTATTAGGATGATGCCAGTTTGTAAAACTCCAGCAAGAAAGCCCAGGCCTTAACATAGTGCTGAGAAATAAAAGAGAAATAAAAATATTCGTATATGTCATGGTAAAGCCATTTGCTGAGATATGGTCAAACTAGAAGACTACACTGAAATCCACTTCTCAATTTTCTTATTCACCCCACAGAAGTCAACTACAGCATTCTTGTTAACGTCAAAGACATTCCCAACAAGCCAAAGGCAACAGCAGAGTAGAAATGCACAGATGTGACCTCTAGGGAATCTGCTCAAAAGACTGGTGGATAGGGGGTGCATGAGAGACTGCATCTAGAAAAAAGATAATGGCTGCTTCACTTGCTACTTCCTGATCAGTCCTTCCTCTGATTTACATTTGCCAACTTTGCTGGTAGGCCTAATACTATCAGGTATACTTTCAGATCCCAACAGTGACCAATTGCAGTGACTGGTTTGAAAGAGCCTCCATGGAGTGGAGAAAAAAGTCTGCCATGACCTGGGGCTCCAGTTGTAAAGCAGCCGCATTCTTCAGCAGAACCATTCTAGGACAATACTCTACATACTCCTGGATGTGTCCACTGTGGGAGTGGAAAGGCAGTGCTCCTTTTGCATTCACAACCCTTACACTCTTTGAAACAAAATTAAACACATTGGGCGCCCAAACCTCTGAAAGTATTCTGCTGAGGAACGTCTTTTGAAAGCAACCAAGATAAAGACAACGACCGAGTGAGCCCCAGCATGCTACATCTGAGGTCAGGCCACATGTAAGTCCCCTCATCACACACCCCTTGATCATCTTTATTTCCAAATTAAATTAAAAAAATACACACGGATTTGTGCCATCTATGGGTATCTTCCAAATCTTCCTCTAATTACCCTGGCCGCTCATTTACAGTCAGATGACATGACCCAGGAGCACACACAGGGTTTGCCAACTGTGTAAGCGAAACGGGGCTGAGGATGACAGGAGCTTCTTCTCTTTCAAGTTGGCTTGTCACTCTATTACCCACTTCTGAACACACTCCACATCTGACACGAAGGGGCACCCTGGCAAATTGGGAGCCGCTTGGCTCCTCCAAACCCATAGCTGAGGATTGGAAAGGCTCTAATGTGGGCCAACCCATCCAGGCGGTCGAGCATTTGTAGTCAATTTGCAAATTATTCTCTCTCTGGGCATATGGACTACACTAGACTGTCTTCATCATTAAAGTTCTCTCACTCCTGCCCCAGAGCTTTACCTTACTCCCGTAGCTTCTACAAGGAACAAGGAAAATGAGTGAATGGGAAAAGCAATCAGCATCCCTAAAGCACATGAATTTAAGCTGACAAAGCCATTGAGTGAGAGGGTAGATTAAATGTTTACTTACTCAGTGCAGATTTTGTTTTGTTTGTAAAACTTGTGCCGTGTAGCAAACAACCGAGAAATATACTTGGCATTTTCGATATCATCCTTGGAAAAGAAAAGACAGAAAAAATAAACATGTGTTTGACTAGATGTACATTCCACTAAGATTCCTCCCAGTAGGAATGTTTCCCTCCCTTCCTTCATCTCAAGCATAAACTAACATGTTGGGTCAGCAAGCAAACCAGCCTGCTGGAAACTTTAGCAGCTGCCACTCCCGCAAAGTCTACCCAAGAATGGCAGAAAACGCTGCCTGCCAAGGAATCCTTTACATCCAAGACACTGGGGTTACACTGATGAACTGGCATGTCTTTACATAATTCCAGACCAAGTGCTTTAAAAATAAATAACTGAATCAAGGCAGAGCATAGAATAAACATGGAATGTCATTACGTTGGAGGCAAAGAGATGCATGACCAGCCTTGGTTTTTGAGGAGGCACTCAAGAGAAGGTCAATCACTCAGCTTACTTCAGATTAAGACTGGGCTATAAGGGGGAAGAAAATTCGGGACAGCCAGCAAAAGCAAATGCAGTGTAATATCGTCAGGTGTCACTCCAAGAAGGCTGTAACTCAAGTGCTGAGGAATGCACGCCAGACAATGTGGATCCATCACAAATAAAGCAGGGGGAGAAACCCAAATCCTAGGTAGCTTGGAAATCTGGTCTTTTGAACATGGCATTTTCCTACCACCATCCTAAAATGAGTAATAGCATTGGGCAAGTGTCAGAAAGCATCTCTCCAAGAGAATATTTATTCTGTCAAGATACAGAGAGCAAAGAAAGGGCATTGTAAGCTGAGAAGCCAAACAGCAAGCTGCTTGTTGACCCAGACTTCGGTCTGTCCACTCTGCTTACCGTGTGAAAGAGGGCAGTCTCTTCCTTGTTGATGAGCTCCACCAGGATGGTTGACTTGTTATGAGTGATATTCCCCATGTCATTCCACCTGGTTAACAGAAAGGCAACCGTGTTTGCCCAAAGAGGTTCCACGCATTTACGATCCAGCATAGTAGAGCTACTGGCTGCTACTGAGTCTCATTTTACAAATTATGATTTAACTATTTTTTAAGCTAAATGTCATTTCTCTCAAGAGAAAAAAAAATGCAACATTTACCTATTCAAATCGCTAAAAATTCTAAAGTGAAATATGCTTAGATATTGCTGCTCAGTTTCCTTTATGACTAGCAATGAGGAAACTTGGAAGGGACTTTTGCTGCCTTTCCCCAACATTTCCAAACTGTCAAAACATTTCCCATGACCTCCATGTTTTAATGATGGAGTATTAAAAAGTCTTGTGTTTCCAGGAATCTAGACTGAAGAATCCATACATTCTGTCTTGTAATGTGCATTACAGATTGATTTTATCACCTAGAAAAAACATCTAGGGACTGCTGAATGTGTCTATGATTTTGTGATCTAACATGCACACACAGAAAATCAGACTCTGTTGTCATGGAGACTTTATCTAAAATGAGATACACTGAAATAAGCACCAGACAAGGGAAGATAAGCTACTGCCTCCCATTCTACTTGGAGCCAATTTCTGACCATCTTTAACCACTACCTATGCTTCACTTGGCATCCCAGCCTGTAATTCCCTCCCACTGCTTTTCTCCTCCATCATTCATCTGCTCATTGTACTTCCACCGTCTTCTTCCTGGATAATTCCTTTGCGACTCAGTTCAGGAGCCACCTTCTCCAGGAAATCCTTCCTTTTCCCCCATCATCCAACACAAGGAGAACCTGCTGTAGTCCTCTATGGGTCACCATATTGTATTACAATGCTTTCTTCTGTGACTAGATCTCTAACTAAACCAGACTAGAACACAGGCCCTTACCCCCATGGAGGGATTCTGTCTTCAACTCTGGGCTCCAAGCACTGAACCTAATACCTGGCACAGAACATTCAATAAGTGTTTACTGAAAGAATGAAAAGTAATAATATTGCCTCTCATCTGTACAGAGTACTATTCTTTTATCAACCCTCTAAACAGAAAGGGAGGCTATTTTTGCTCCTACTTTAAAGAAGAGGAGAACTTAAGCACAAATGAGTACCTGATGTAAACACATTAATTCTGTTCATTGGGGATAGATGAGCTCATGACCTGAGGTTTACAGGCTTTCCCCCAATTACCTTTCCCCTATACTAGTCCCAGATGCTTTTAAGTACATCTGCTGGGACAGCACTCTTCACATGTTCTATGCTTCCCAGCTTGCTGCCCAACTTTCAGTCCCACCAGGTTACATCTACATGGATTCAGTCATGTAGCCCCTCAGTGAAAGTCTCAAAAGATAAGAGAGATTTTTCCTCTGACTCCATTCTTTCAAATCAGCTGCCCAAACCCTGGATTCACTCCTCGCCCTACCATAGGACATCACCTAGTGGCATGATGAACACCACACTATCGTGTAATTCCCATCTTGTAAGAGTTTCAAGGTAAGTGAAAAGGTTCCAAAGGAAACGGAGTGAGTGGCTTATGCTCATCCAACTTCCAATTATTATTTTCTTCTATTTCACCTCTTTTGTAGACTCAAGGAGAAATTCAAACAGTGAATCAACTATGCAGAACTGATAGGACACAATGCCTGTATAACTTTAAATGAATATAAAAATTTATAGTTACAACTCTGCACATATTTACATATTTTCATCAACTAATTTATACTTTGTAGAGGGCATCTGGAGTCAACTCTACCTCTCAAAGTTAAAAAATGTATTTATTTATTTATTTATTTAGAGTCAGGGTCTCACTCTGTCATCCAGACTGGAGTGCATGCTCATGGCTTACCACAGCTCAAACTCCTGGGCTCAGACGATCCTTCCACCTCAGCCTCCCAGGCAGCTGGGACTACAGGCACATACCACCCCATTCAGATAATTTTCAAATGTTTTTTGTTGTTGCTGTTGCCGGGACAAGGTCTTGCTATGTTGCCTAAGCTGGTCTCAAACTCCTGGGCTCAAGTAATCCTTTGCCTAGGACTTCTAAAATGCTGGGATTACAGGCGTGAACCACCATGCTCAGTCCTAAAAGATCTATAGCCCCAAAGATATCTCTCTGTCCACTCTTTTTTTTTTTTTTTAAAGAAAAATAGACAAATCATAAAAATAATGCCAGGATGGGGATCTAGGGTACTAAAGCCAGTCAGGAAGATTTTGGTTGGAAAAAATGCAATTTATGTACCTATTCAAAATGACCTGCAGTAATTGCCAATCCAAAGAGTACATGGTTGGCCAAGAGTCACTTCCAGAAGGTGAGCGGTGCTTGCCTCTGAGAGCTGCCTTTGGTCATCTGCCCTGGATGCAAAGCTCTGCCTATCAGATACACACACAGGAAAGCTGTTCTTCCCATAATTAATGGGCCATATTGCCCATGAAAATGAAAGCCAGCACATAGCTTTTCAGACTGTTGACATTACGATGAAATCTAGGGTATCAGGAGAAAGCAAGTGTATTGACTTGTAGTGTGGGTAGGGAGAGATGCTACCACATCCCTACACTGGCAGCATTCATCTGATGAATGGAAAAGAGGGTTAACATATCAAAATAAGTGAAAAGCACCAAGGCCCTCTAATTTATCATAATGAATTGACTGCTTTTCCAAAATACATTTTTTACAAAGAATCTTCTTTTGTTAATATAGAAATAAGTTTACACCCTCTGGCTCATGTGGTTAGGCAGAAAGTGCAGGCAAAATGGAAAGAAGGCAGTTTGGACTTAACGACTGACTGGAGAGCTGGTTTGCCACCAGCCTCACTGAGTTTAGTTTCACTCTTTTTGACTTGGTGGGGTTCAACAGTGTATGTCCTAGAGTTGAGTGGGAAGAAAGGGCTTCCTCTCCCCAATAAGATCTCCAAGAAAAGTGAGGTGAGTTTTTAATGGCTGACCACCTCATACCAGTTGAGAAAAGCTCAACTCTGAGCCACAGCCTGGCTTTTAACTCATTTGGATCATCTTAATACTCAGGGCGGTTTTCTAGAGTCTCTCGAGGGAAAAAGGGGGGCAAAAGACAAATAAGACTACCTGTATATTACTGCTTGTCTTCCAATTCTGTTTCTCACGAAAATTCCCATAAAGAAAATGCCAAGATGCACACTGTTTCCATGATTGTCCTGCATAAGATCAACAAAAGACACCTGTAATGTCCCATATTCATTGCAGCACTATTCACAATAGCCAAGATGTGAAATCAGCCTAAGTGTCCATCAACAGGTGAATGGATAATACGTGGTATACATACACCGTGGAATATTATTCATCCTTTAAAAAGAAAGAAATGCTGTCATTTGCTATAATATAGACAGAATTAGAGAACATTATGCTAAATGAAATAATCCAGGCACAGAAAGAAACTGCATGTTCTCACTTGCACATGGAATCTAAAACAATTGAACTCATAGAAACAGAGCGTAGAAGGCAGTTACCAGAGGGTAGAGAGTGAGAGGAATGGGAGATGATGGTGAAAGGATACAAAGCCTTGTTAGATAGGAAGAATTAGTTCAAGAGATCTACTGTATATCATGGCAACCACAGTTTATGACAAGGTATTGTATTCTTAAAGTTTACTTTTAGCAATTTTCCAGCGTTTTCGCCACAAAAAAAGTATGTGAGATAATGCATATGTCAGTTAACTCAATTTAGCCATTCCGCAATATACACCTATTTCAAAACAACATGTTGTACACATATACATGAACAAGTTTTATTTATATATATACCTATAGGTACCACACCCTGTTTTTTTTCCATAAAGAGTGGGATGAACCATAGATAGCATCAGAGCAACAAGGTGACCAGCTCTGTGGGGGGCCAGGTCCTAGAGTAACTCACCCTTGCACATCCTGGCAGATTATACATACACATGCATATTTCTTTTTTCTCAGTTTTTCACATTTCCAGTTTGAGAATTTTAGGATTTTCTCAGATTCATTGGCTGTTTGAATTTTCTTTCATGAACACCTATCTATATTTTTTTAACCTTACCAAAGTTTTTGTTTTTTAAATCAAAGTTCTACATGCTTGAAGAGTTGAACATTCTTCATGGCTTATTTAAAGGAGGCCAGCTGGGCTCGGTGGCTCAGCCTGTAATCCTGCGCCTTTGGGAGGCTGCGGTGAGTGGATTGCCTGAGCCCAC